GGGAGGAAAGGATCACACTTTCTGCAGTGAAAGAACAAGGATGACTGCTTTTGTTTAGAGGTGGCAATTTCAATTTGTACAAGATATGTTTAGACAGTCTGTGTTCTCAAGATGACTATGCTTCCTCCCTTGCTTCATATTGAGTTTTACACACTGATAGGGACTGGGAATTGCTTGGGAATCCTTAAAATTACTTAGAATTAAAATAAACTTAAACTGAATATTAAATACTTAACAATTTAGGGGGAAATTTGCAGCATAGAGTGAGCCTTGACCTGAGAATGTTTTCATATTCCCAAAGTGCTTTGGTCTGAGGAGTCAATAGTAAGTATGGGCATTGAGATATATAAATAGATATCTTTATCAACTTACATTATATAGTTTACTAACTCATTTATTTATAAAGCTCCCCCTCCCTCTACCCGCCCCCTCACACCCACCACCACCAGTCCTCGGGATACCCAGCCCAGGCGGAGAAAACACCGAGACATGGGAGGTCGAGGAGCATTCCATCTTCTACTCGTGTGCCTGAGCCCAGGTATGGGACTGGGCAGTGGTCAGGGATAGAGGCAGCGAGTCCTCACGGGGAGCCTCACAGGTGGTCTGAGATGCCCAGTCCTACCCTGCTGCAACCCAGAGTGGATATTGCCAAGGAGGTTTGGGACATGTGTCTGTGGTGCGGGGATCTGTGTGTGGATCTTCATGGGGCTCACACGTGCGCGCAGGTGCCTGTGAGCAGGAAGACAGGGCTTGCTCAGAGTTGCCTATCAGAGTTAGAGGTGGGATAGGAGTCAGGTGAGCAGCGACACTGGGTGGGGGCTGAGGAGGAGCCTGGGAAGGATCAATTTTCATCAACTGTGTGCTACTCCCTCCCTTCCAGGCCAGAGCCAAGGGGCAGGGGCAAGAGACAAGGGCTGGAGTAAGTCTGGGTGGGTTGCTTCCATCACAGCCCTAAGAGCTCAGGCCTGAATCCTGGGCTCTGGGTCCCCACGTGGTGAGTCCTGGGGTCGTGATCCCACCAGGATGAGGCCTGAGGAGGCTGGGGAGGGCAACTCCAGAGTCCCTGACCCCACTAGGGCAGGCCTGCAGTGCAGGGCTCACGTTTGAATAGTGTGATTGTCTGTCCAAGTTGGGGCAAGTCCCAGTGAGGGACGTTCTGTGCGGGCATAGCTGGAGATGGCTCTGTGTCCTCACCGCCGGGGGGCCTGGGTCTGGGATGAAGGGCTGTGAGGGGGGTGCGAGAAAAGGGGACTGTTTTCAGCCTCTGTGTGAGTGTGACCGTGTATGTGGCATGTGCGAATGATGGCGTTTCTGGCAGGATAGCTGTGCCCCTCTCTGTCTGGGGAGAGCTGGGTGGGCAGGGCCCCTTAGGAGGTTCCGGCTGTACTATGAGGACCTGGAACCTCTCTCTGTGTCATGTGTCCGTGGGTGTGTGACAGACTCAGCATTTGGTGCATTTACGCACCAGTGCCTTCCATGGGAGCCACCTTTCTCCCCTCCCTGTACTTCCCCTCCCTCACCTCCAAAGGGAGGGTAGGAGTTCTGGAAGCAGCTGAAGGTTCAGACAGGATTTACAAGCCGAGGACAGACACTACCGTTGAGTCAACACCCCATAGAGAGAGGCCAGTCCCTGGTGCTTTTGTGGGGAGACAATTAATCGGCACCGTCCCTTCTCCTCGGAGACCCCATGTGACTCCCTCAGGCCCCTCTCTTCCCATGTTTCTCCACCCAGCAGGCCCTTCCACCCTGGCTGTCTTCCCTCCCTCCAGCCTCTCTCTTCTCTCACATTCCCTGGAGATACTTCCTAAGTGCTACAGCAAGAGGAATCAAGATTAGACCCAGGAACCCTTGGGGAGGAGGCTGAGAAAGCTTCTCAGGAGATGGAAAAGCTAAGTGAAGCTCCCTGGCCTGGGACAATTGAAGCAGCTCTCATTCCTGCAGGGTGGAGGCCCTTTCTTGCAGCCAGTCCCTCCTTCCCAAGCCCCTCTCCCTGAATACTTACCTCCTGCCTGACTGGCTTTAGGGCTTGGAGAGAGTCCGCCCTGTGTGGGTTGCTTCCAGTGTCTTCCCCAGGGCGGAGCCTCTGCTCTCTGCTGAGTTCTGGCTCATCACTGGCTTGCCTTGTGCCGCCCCAGGATCTGGCAGATGGCAGCAGGATCCTTATCTCAGGAGTGAGCTGCTGTTCTCTTGGCCTGGGGCTGGAGGAGGCATCACCAGAGCCCGTTAGAGCTGCAGCAACCAGAGCCTGGGGTCATCCTGGAGTCTAGTTGGGTTAGGACATGGCTGGCAGCCTAGCCAGGGTTCCTGGGGGCAAGCCCGAGGATCCCCGAGGTGTGGGAGTGCTGAAAGAGCCCTTGCTGGCCCTGCTAGAGCTGGGCTAAGGCTCTCAGGCAGGGCTTCAGCAGATAGGTCTGGTCTTGAATGATTGCACATAGGGACTATAAGAGCACACAGTGGGCGTGTCTGCTGGATTAGATGTACCTGTGTTTGCTGTAAATGTGGATTTGACAGTGTCTATGTGTGTAGGAAGGCGGGGCCGCATAGGTGTGTATCTGCATTTTGAAGGCTTGCAAAAGTGGCCTATGTGTCGATTTGTTTTCCTATGACAGTGTGTAATCGTGTGTGTGTGTGTGTGTGTGTGTGTGTGTGTGTGTGTGTGTGTGTGATGCTCTCTAAGTGGGAGTGTGGTCCTGAGCCAGAGAAGGACAGGACAGCATGACTGCTGAGGTTCCAGGGGTCATGCTGACACAAAGGTCATGCTGACTGCTGAGGCTCCAAAGGTCATGCTGACACAAAAAAGAACGCAGATGCAGCATGAGGAGACTGGGTGAGGGGCCTGCCGAGGTACAACTGCTGGAGGCTGGGAGGTGAGCACAGAGTGCCCGGGGTGGGGCCCTGGGTACAGCCCCTTCTTGTCCCTCTCTAGGTCCAACCGGTTGGGGCTAGGCTTGCCTGGGCTTCAGGGTAGGGAGGGAGAGGAGCTCAGTGCTGAGTTCCTGGATCCTGGGATCCGGCTCCTCACCCAGGGCTGCCGGCCACTGACTCAGCGGCAGGAGGGGCCTCTGAGGGAGCAAGGCTGTGGGGGCGGCTGCGCCTGACCACTCGGTTACACAGGAGGAAGGACACCAAGTCCACAGCACTGTGCAAAGTCATGCAAGGCTCATACAGCCCTACAGATGCCTATGGCTGTAGTCCCAGGCGCACACCGTCGCTTACCATCACACAGGAACACAGGCAGCTCCGGGTCAGAGCTACCTGCCAAGCCCCAACACACACTATCACTTCAAGCACTCACACAGCCAGGCTCACATTGTCACACACCACCAAGCAATAGCACCCAAAGGCCTACAGCCACAGACACACTGCCATACCCACACAGACACACCCAGTCTTCTGCTTCTCAGGCTGGAGAGAAACCCCAGAAGCCGTGGCAACCATCCTCCTGCCTCTGGCCAGGAGCACCTCACTTGGCCCAGACAGGTGGCATTTAACCAACCAGGCTTTTCCCTCAGAGCATTTGACGACTCTGTGTGCTCCACAAGCCTAGAAACACACACACACACACACACACACACACACACACACACACACACAAAACCATGTAAATACATACACAGATGTCATACATGGTCATGTGGCATGGATATCCTTGCAGTATCCATAAGCAGCCAAAAACACTCATAAGTACACACTGTATATATGTGCACATATCCGTATGTGCAATCATGTATACATACAAGCAACACAACAGCTATATGTATATATACACACACACATTATTCAGATGCGAACCTAACACAATCAGAACATATGCATGTGTCCACAAGCATGGCCACATGAAGAAACATGCAACACAAGTGTGCCCAGACATTCCTGAACACATGTACACACTCACTCGAAGCAGTCCCTCCTCCTGATGGAAGTTCCCCTGAGCCCTGGTGGAAAGGAGGGCTGACATTGTTGGCTTCTCAAGCTCTGATGCTGCCGCCATCACTCCCTACCCCCACTCCCCACTCCCACTCTGCCCTGTCCCAGCACTGCTGTCTGCTGTGCGGATCAACGGGGATGGCCAGGAGGTTCTGTACCTGGCAGAAGGTGATAACGTGAGACTGGGCTGCCCCTACATCCTGGACCCTGAAGACTATGGTCCCAGTGGGCTGGACATCGAGTGGATGCAAGTCAATTCAGAGCCCTCCCACCGGGAGAACGTGGTGAGTGCGTTTCATGGTGTCCACCTGTGGGGCAGCCCACACCCGACGGTAGAGGGAAACTAGGACCTTGGACTTCGGGGAGAGGGGCAACAGGGATGAGAGCTCTGCAATCATGAATCAGGTCAGCCAGTTAGTCCACTCCCTCCCCACCGCTCCCAATGGAATAGAAGGCATGGTCTCTGCCCTCAAGAAGTACCCATCCTGACCTTATACTTTCCAAAGTGCTTGATCGCCCCCATTCTGTAAGAGGTCGGTGGGTCAGGCAACATCATTCTCACTTTTCAGCTGAGAAAACTGTCTTGGAGGAGTTCAGTGACTGCCCAAAGCAGCCAACCCACATGCCCTCCTTGGCTCTGCTTTACTCCCTGTCTTCCTCCCTTGTCTCTGCCTGTCTCACTCCCTGTCTGCCCCTCTTTTCCATAGTTCCTTAGTTACCAGGACAAGAGGATCAACCATGGCAACCTCCCCCATCTGCAGCAGAGGGTTCGCTTTGCAGCCTCGGACCCCAGCCAGTACGATGCCTCTATCAACCTCATGAACCTGCAGGTATCTGACACAGCCACCTACGAATGCCGGGTGAAGAAGACCACCACGGCCACTCGGAAGGTCATCGTCACAGTCCAAGGTACGGCCAGACTCCTCTGGACTCCCCTTCCTCAGGCTTCAGAGCCAGTGCAGCCTGGCCACTCTGAGCTGGGCTCTGCCCCTTGGCTGGGCTCTGGCTCACAACTGTCTGGCTTCTTGCAGCACGCCCTGCGGTGCCCATGTGCTGGACAGAGGGCCACATGACGTACGGCAATGATGTGGTGCTGAAGTGCTTTGCCAACGGGGGCTCCCAGCCCCTCGCCTACAAGTGGGCCAAGATCAGCGGGTACACGCACCCCTACCGAGCCGGGTCTTACCACTCCCAGCACAGCTTCCACTCTGAGCTCTCCTACCAGGAGTCCTTCCACAGCTCGATGACTCAAGGTGAGGGGCACCGGGTGAGGGCAGTGTGGAGAAGAAGGGAGGGTCAAGGACTCCGGGACCCACTGGGGCACTCTTGGATTATCAGTGGCACCGAGTCAAACCTGGAACCCCCGTGGGAGACTCCCCCCGGGCCTGTCCCAGTAGTTGCTACTGAAGGAAGAAGCGGGGGGCAGAAGTGGGGAGTTCATCAAAAGCAGTATGGTGAATTTGGAGAGGCCAGGGTCTGAGATGGACTGAAATGGGCTTGGATCCTGGCAGGGACCCTGATTGGCCACAAGTCTCAGGCAATGGCTTACCCTCTCTGTGCCTTAATCTCTTCGTATGTGAAAAGGGAATACTAAGATCTGCCTTCTGGGGGATTAAACGGGTTGAGGGAAGTAAAGCTCTCAGCACATGGAGAAGCTGAATAATACAGTCAAGCAACGGATCACAGTGCTAGAAGGGACCTCAGAGTCCTCTAGTCTAACCCTGATCCTCACTGCACAAAAGAGGAGCCCAAGGCTGGGAGACAGGACATATTTCCCTAAGATGACAGAATGAATGCATGATGTCTATGTCTTTTCACTCTGTCTCTGGAGAGTGGAGTGGACCAGAGTGTGACTGTGTGTGTGTGTGTGTGTGTGTGTGCGCGCGCACATGCGCGCACCTTCCCTCCTTCCAGAGTGGGTCTTTCACCCCCACCCACAGGGTCTGAGGCTGGGGTGGGAGCTCTAGAGACCAGGCCTCTCTGCTTCACTTTCAGGCCTGAGCAATGGGGACCTGGTGTTGAAGGACGTCGCTGGAACAGATGATGGGCTGTATCAGTGTACAGTAGCCAACCACGTGGGCTACAGCGTTTGTGTGGTGGAGGTGAAAGTCTCAGGTAGGTGCCCTGGCTGGGGCCCTGGCTGGGGAGGTGGGGGCGGGGGCTGGTGGTGCTGGAGGGCCCGGGCTCTAGTTGGGAGGGCATGGGTCTACAGGACTCTGCCTAGAGCAGCTGCACACCCTGGGAGAGACTCGCAGGAGAATGCGTCGCCTCCTATCTTCCTCACTGGGTGACCCAGAGCTGGGGCCCCTTGGATCCCCTCCCTCTTTCCCACCCACCCCTGCCCTGACACCTCCTGCTCAGGTAGGCCCTGCCAGGCTGCAAGAAGCCTGACGGCCTCCTTTCACTCCACAGACTCCCGGCGTGTAGGCATGATCATCGGCGCCGTGCTGGGCTCCCTGCTCGCGCTGTGCTGCCTGGCCGTGGGCATCTGGGGACTCTTCTGCTGCTGCTGCGGGGGCACCGGGGCTGGCGGTGCCCGCGGTGCCTTCGGCTACAGTAACGGCGGGGCCTGCGGCGACCTGGCTAGTGAGATCAGGTAAAACCTGATGCATGCTGCATGCTGCTGTGCGGCAGGAGACCGGCGCCCTGCCCGCCTCACCCCTGCCTGCCACCGGCTGGGAACCCCCACCCCAACCCTGCCCACCATCGCCACGGAGTGCTGGGACCGCAGCATGTCGACCTGCCACCTGCCGCATGGCTTCTGTCTCTCCCCTCTCCCTCCCTGTCTCCACCTCTGCCCTCCTGCCCTCCATCCCCTCCTGCCCGTGCACCTGTCTTGTCTAGACTGTAAGCTCCTGGAGGGCAGGGCCTGTGTGCTTTCATGTTTCCCTTGTATCGCGCCCGTGATAACTCTGGCACACTTATTTAAAAAGAGAGCATGATAAGGATAGCGCTAGTAACTTATATGAGAAGCAAACTGAAATAAAAGTAGAAGATTAGCAGTGCTAATGACTGCAATGCCTTGGGGACGGAGCGAAGGATGGAGAACACGGGGACAGGAGGTGGGAAGAGGAGAGGGGAGAGGACAGCGGAGAGGAGAGGAGAGCGGAGAGGCGCGCAAGGTCAAGGGCAGTGAGCAGAAGGCCGGAGGAGCAGCGCCTTCGGCGTGCCCAAGGCCCCCTCCCTGCGGGGGCGACCGCTCAGCGGAACACCCGAAAGGCCGGGCTGCCGTGGCTGCCCAGAGGCGTGCGCAGCGGCTCGGCCGGCGGGCC